GTATGTCTCACTGGTATTTTTTAAACTTTCCCTGTTAAGAAAGAGTAACTTTCTCTTCAATTGGAGAAATAAGGTTCAATTTCTGTTGGTAACCAATGAGACTTCATTTAGAATACAATCTCTGTATTAGTGAGTTACCCAGCAGAACTCTTCCTTCTGTAATAATTTAGCTTTATTTAGGGGAAAAAACAAACATAAAACCCCACCATTTAAGTCATAACATTCAGGGGAGAGTCTTCATGTCCTAGGGAAAAAACAAGAGCAAAGTTAATATATTGACTACTTATCCGAGTAATGTTTTTGAAATAAGCCTGTTGCAAAGGCATATGACTATATAACCATATGTAACCATTATAAGCAAAGCATGAGTTCTCGTATATTTGACTTTTTAAATCTCTTTACAGAGAATGAAAATGGTCTGTTGGATTTAATGATATATCTGAACACTTTTCTGAAAGCAGTCCAAAAAGGAATCACTATTCTTGTATATAAATGTTGACACTTTTTTTGCTGCTTTTAATGCTTTACCATCCTTTTGATTCTGAACCAATAGGATAACTTATTAGCTATAATGAGTGACTAGAATTTTCATGGTCTGATGTACACCCATATTATATTAATATTTAATTAAGTCATAGAAGATAGAGTTCATTGTCTTTTTGGATTGTCCATTCCCCTACCAGCACATGAAATACTACCTCAGATAGACTCATCTGTTAAACTGATATTACTCTTGGTCTTTTTATTTAAAAAAAAAAAAAAAGCCATTCACCTTTTCATTTGTCTGTCAGAAACACTGCTCAAGAGACGGTTTTCCCCAATAAAGGAATAAAAATCTTTCCTTAGCAATAAAGAGGAAATCCCAACCTCCATGTCAGCCAGATCCTCTAGGTCCTTCTTGGGCTCCATGATGTAATGCCAGCCTTTGGGGTCCCTGTTCACTCAAGTGAAGTGGTGAGCATGTGAGCCATCAGTTTCTACAAAATGTAAGTTTTGATTTAAAAATTGTGACCTTTACGGCTGCAAAGAAAAATTTTTTCAAATAAAAACCAAATCCAAAGTGATGCCTAAATGGTTAGCTATATCAACCAAACACATTTGGCTGGGTGTACGTACAAATAGCTGGAGTTACTGTAATAACCACTGGAAGTGAACTTCAAAAGCAACTGGGAAAAGACTGCTTATCACCAGGAAACCGAATAGCAAAATGCTAGATATCTCACGTTCTCTATATTTGAGCACTTTACAAAATAATATAAGACCAGAGTGCTTATTCAAAGTTGGTTTAGTGAATCACAGTTAATGTTGAAGACTGTTAGAATAGCAGGCTAACTTGTCTTATTTTTTACTCTGCCATAAGCTACACAATTATTTGGAAAAGTCAGAGCTCCAAGTTCAATACTAGGCTCTTGCAACCAACTATCACTTATATCAACTGACTATGGGCTTGTGCTGAGTAGGGATATTGGCTGAACGTTGCCAAACAGTAGTAAGTGGCTACTTTCTCTGTAATTGGTTGCTAAGAGACTCACTGGTTAACTAGAAATTCAAGAATACGTCATTCAGTGGTCTGGTTAAGTGAGGTATCCACAATGGTATTAATGGGGAAAAATGACACCCTGCAGGAAAAGGTGGGGGAGGGGCGAGGAATAGAGGCATAGGTTCTTACACGAAGCATCTGCATTTTTTAATTCTTTGATTGTAAGTAACTTTTGTCTCCTCTTTGTATTGTACTTGTTTTTCTCAACAGTTGCCTCCTAGACTTCACAAAAGGTGTGATATGACCATTCTTTGGCTAAGTCCAGGGTTAAAGAATTTTTAAAGCCATGTAACAGTTTGTCCGGCATGTGTGCCAACGGCCCTTTTTTTGTTATAACTTGGTTTGGTGACCACCCTCACCCCGAAAAAAACATGGCCCTTCGGGAGAGGTTTGAAGGATATTTATGTATGTCTGGTCAGTCTTCTCTATTGCATTGTCTCTGTAGTTATGGGATGGGCACCTTTAGGGACTTTTATCAATTTTAAATGAATTATGGTAGCCAAACGTGGTTGTTTTGGGAGGGTGGACAGGACTTAACTTTGCTCTCTGCTGACTGTTTTGGGGAAAAAATTAACATAAAGTAAACAGAACCACCAAGGGATATACAAGGGACTTTCACACAGAGGTTAGAAGACCTTGACTTTGCAGATGACATCAGCTAGCTATCCTATACTCACAGATACTTGCAAGCCAAAATAAATGATCTCCAGGTCTGTGCACAATTAGTACAGTTGAAAATCAACAGTGAGAAAACTGAAATCGTGAGAATCAACACACAAGAAGCACCAATAACACTTTCTGGAACTGAAATAGAAGAGGTCTGATATTTCACGTAACTTGGCAGCATTGTAAATGCAACAGATGGAACAGATGAAAACATTAAAGCCAGACTAGTGAAAGCCAGACACCCATTTGTAACAATAAAGCTAATCTGGAGAAACAGAAATCTTGCCCTCCAAATTAAACTTTGAATATTTAATACCATTGTAAACTTGGTCTTACTGGATGATGCTGAAACTTGGGAGACTTATTAAGACTTTGCTGTCTAAACTCCAATTTTTCATAAACCGCTGACTTAGACAAATCTTCAATATCAGATGGCCAGAAAAAAATCACAAACGAAGAATTCTGGAGGAGGACAAAACAGAAACTGATAGGACAGGAATGAAAATGGAGGTGACTAGAACATACATGGAGGAAAGACCCAAAGAACATAACAAGACAGATATTATACTGGAACCCCCAGAGCAAGAGACAACAAGGGTAACATGGAAATGAACAATAGAAGCAGAATAGAAAGCTATCAAAAGGACATTGGAAGAAGCCAAGACTGCAGCAGGATACTGGCAAAGGCAGCAGTGGGAGTCCTTATGTTCTGGCCTAAGAGAGAGAGAATTCATTTTAAAGCTAGGCTATTTACAAGCATTTTGATGAGGAGAGCCCCTCCCTGTAGCTTCATCTGTGTTCTCTGCATAAATGTGATGGGGAAGGTGAGTCCCAGGGAGTGCCTGTAACACGGGGAGTTGGGGGTTTGCGGGGCAGCAGGTCTCATAGAGCAGCTTAGAATAAATAGATGGCAAGGAATTTGTATTAGCTTTGACTGTGAGCTGTTTTGAATTTTGGTGCTGTCTGTTGTATAAAATTTGCTCAGTTCTTTTTTGCTGAAATTGAAAGGACCCCTTCTTCCCTAATTCAAGTAGCGTTTAGCTAGTTTTGACATCTCCTGAAAATAACCTGAATCAAATTAATTCAGTTGGTTTCCAGCTTCCTGGTGGTTTGAGGGGCAAGGAGGGAGAGCTTTTTTTCCATTCTGTGTCTTGAGGAAGCTGAGACTATGTAAAGAACATATTCCCACAGCACTGAGGGGTTCAAACAAAGCTATTTCCGTTTGGAAGCAGGCTGCTGGATTGCAAAGCAAGGCACAGGCTACTGCCTGCAGGCATTGTGAGTCCAAGCACGTACACTTACATCACCATAGTTTGAACTTGCATTTCGTGAAGTTTGTATAAAAAGAGCTGACACTGGGTAGGAAATGAAGATTCAGGGGGTCAGTGGGGCACAGAGTAGCAGCATTTGTTACTTTCCATTTGTAATCCAAAATCTTCATTGGCTTGATAAGACACTGAGTCGCATGATTTAAGTTGCATTGTCTTTAGTTTTTATCCTGTTTGGTATTGTACATTCTTTTCTGATTGAGATTAAACAAGAGGGAGTGATTAGAATTAGCCTTTTGTGAAGAGGTGTGATTGGTATTACTGTTGTGAGGGAAAAGGTTGATTTATCTGCTGTTTCTTGGATTCTGTGACTGCAGATTGTTTCTGTTTTAGTGCAACATCAAATATAAAGCAATAGCAGAGCTGTCTAGTCCAGTTAAGGGAGGGGTTCACTTGGCATATAGAAGTTTACATTTCCCCATACAGATCTCAAATGATAGGTCAGTAGATGCAGTTTTTAACTGGTTCTTAAATAAAAGAATCTAAACTCACTGCCATCCATTTGGGTGGCAGTAACCTCTTTACCATTATTTTCCTGACAGCAGCCAAGTGCACAGTGATTTAGAAAGCTCACTCAGGCATCTTGTTCCTAACTTCCTTTGGCAGAGGCCATAGACTCTTTTCAACAACTTTGTGTACAAACTCTTGTGGAATAAAGGGAATTGTTTAACTGTTCCACTTAGCTCCTGATTGGGACAGAAAGATTTGTGGTGTGTGGGATGGCAGAGTGAAGAAATAAGGATTTTACTTCTATATCTTACTCAAGGAACTGGTTCCCTGCCATATTTCATGTCTGGGTATTCCAGTGGCTCATCTTTCAACAGGAATTAGTTGAAATAGAAGAGGTCTGATATTTCACGTAACTTGGCAGCATTGTAAATTATACAAGGGTTTGTATAATGTTTTGCATCAGCTACCTAATGAAAATTATCACCTTATTTGGAAAGAAAATATCTGTATTCATTGATTGATCCTTTTGCGTAATTAGTAATACAGTAGAATATGAGAAAATCTGATCTTCCCATGCTTTGAAAACACATCATAGCAGCTTGGCATATTTTTGGAGTTTCAAAACCAGGCCAGACGTATGTATCTATAATTTGTTTCTGCTTGTGTCTTAACATGTTCTTCACTGAAACATTACTGTCTAAAAGGAACACAAAAGCATTTGCTAACGTGTGTCATGTATCTTTTGTGGATAGTAAGGCAAATTAAGTTCCAGAACTAATCTGCCTTTCCTGTGCTGGTCTATTTGTCACCCTCAGTAGTGTTGGATTCTGGTCTCTGACCATTTCAGCACTGAAGTTGAAAGAGTTTTCGTTGCATCTCCGTTTCTAAAGTGCTTTGGCATTCTTTTGGTAAAAGGTACAACACAAGTAATAATTTTCTAATCACTTAGGTCAAATTCTAAAGCAGTATTAAATGGTAATCTACTATCATTTATAGACTCTTTTTTTCCCTTAAAGAATATTGACATCACAAACTTCAGCAGCAGTTGGAATGATGGGTTGGCCTTCTGTGCAGTCCTCCATACTTACCTCCCAGCTCACATTCCGTATCAAGAACTGAACAGCCAGGACAAGGTACAGTATTATAATATCCAGTTTAGCCTATGTTAACTGAAAATATAGTTAAGCTTAAAAAAAAAAAACTTAAGACAGATTAAAAAAAATACATAGAATGGATGGGCATGCAACGGTAGAGAAACAAAATTGGGATTACTTGTTGCATTAAAATTGTAAATGGGAGCATGACTATATTACTTAAATTAGTTAAGTGTGGTTATAAAATTAAGACCTATCAATTATTTGAGGCCATTGGACAAATGAGAACTTTGGGACAAAGTTAAGAAGACTTCAATGAGCGAACATAAATTTTAAGAAGAACAGGAGTACTTGTGGCACCTTAGACTAACAAATTTATTAGAGCATAAGCTTTTGTGGGTTACAGCCCACTTCGTCGGATGCATAGAATGGAACATATAGTAAGATAGATATGTATATAATCTTACTGTATGTTCCATTCTATACATATGTTCTATGTATACACACATACAGATAAGTTGGAAGTTACCATACAAACTGTGAGAGGCTAATGAGTTAAGATGAGCTATTATCAGCAGGATTTAAGGGTGGCAATTTTGCAACAGAAAAGCTTCAAAAACAGACTCCAACTAGAAACTGCTGAGCTTGAATTAATATGCAAACTAGAACCATTAACTTGGGTTTGAATAGAGACTGGGAGTGGCTGAGTCATTACACATATTGAATCTATTTCCTTAAGTTAAGTTCCTCACGCCTTCTTGTCAACTGTCTAAATGGGCCATCTTGATTATCACTACAAAAGTTTTTTTCTCCTGCTGAGAATAGCTCATCTTAACTCATTAGCCTCTCACAGTTTGTATGGCAACTTCCAACTTAACTGTATGTATATATAATATCTTACTATATGTTCCATTCTATGCATTCGATGAAGTGGGCTGTAGCTCACAAAAGCTTATGCTCTAATAAATTTGTTAGTTTGTAAGGTGCCACAAGTACGCCTGTTCTTTTTGCGGATACAGACTAACATGGCTGATACTCTGAAACCCATAAATTTTAACGTGAGGAGATAACAAACAGTGGGTGGAAAGGGCTTTCAGTTGAGGTGATAGCATTCAGTAGTCTTTAACCAAAATGTTCCCTGTTGTTTAATGTTAAAGGTCTGAAATTCAGCAACTTGTGTGCTTTGGAGTAGTTTATTCCCTTTTTTTGGGTGATAGGATGTTTTTTTGTTGAACATGCTTCCATCCCATATTGTTCAGGGTGTCTATTGCTTTCCTCCAGAGCAAAATTTAAAATCAGTGTTTTAGAGGAAAAAAAGTTAAAGATAAATTGGGAAAAAGAATAATCTCAAATTTTTTCCAATGTGTTGTAATTCGTACCCACAGAGACATCTTCCAGAGATGCATTGTTAATAATCTCCGTGACAAATGCAAAAAAAAATTCTTAACAGATGCAGATAATTTATTACTTTTGCCATTTTTATAGACAATTAAATAATTTTTCACCTTAATGAATCACCTGATTCTTATTGTTCAGTCCATTGGTATATATTAAATAATTGTTTCTTAATATCTTATGTTTTCCTTTTTTCTCTTTAAATATCCTCTTTACAGCCCTCTGTTTCTTCTAAGACTTAATGCTGCAGCTTTTTACTTGTGTAGAGCTATATTTTATTTGAAATTCAATTTAATCTTTATCATGTATCCATATTGATATTAAAGTTATATCTGGTTTTACATAAACACTAAGACTGGTAAGAGCTAAGAGAAGAATCCTCCATGAGCTGCATTGGACATTGGTATAAAGATTTATTTCATATGGTATCTGTTACTACTCTAAGGAGTGCTATAGGATTACCTAGAATAGATTAATAAAGGTATATATTTCTCCTGAGTGCATCTCCACCACCTCTATAAAAGTGGCTACAAGTACCTCTTATTGATTACCATTGCCAGGCTATTGTACTTTTATCAAATGAAGTTTTAAAAGTTATATTTACCTCTTATTTGAACAATTCCTCTAATGGTTGAAGTTTAGAATCTTATTAAACTTACTATTTCTCAAACTTTGCTCAGTATTCACTTATTCTCCTTATTTGATAACATTTAATTTAAAATGCAATCCCTTATAGCTGCATCTTTCTTATACAAACAGATGTAAAAACATATCCCTCTCCAGAATTAACAAAATTCTTTCCCTACTTATTTGATACTTTGGCTTTTGTGGGGGTTTTTTTTTTTTTTTTAATTTTATCTGTGGCAAATTAAAGTCCTCAGTTATCACTGTCCTAGCATTGTTGAAAAATCTTTACCCCAATCCAGCAGGTAGTAAATACTTCCTACAGACATTCATGTATCCCTAGTACAGAATGATGCCTGTGACACATCTTTATAAATAGAAAAGGAGTACTTGTGGCACCTTAGAGACTAACCAATTTATTTGAGCATAAGCTTTCGTGAGCCACAGCTCACTTCATCGAAGCTGTAGCTCACAAAAGTTTATTCTCAAATAAATTGGTTAGTCTCTAAGGTGCCACAAGCACTCCTTTTCTTTTTGTGAATACAGACTAACACGGCTGCTACTCTGAAATCTATCTTTATAAATGTGATTTCGTTATAAACTCTAGCTGAAGTCAATACAGGGTTTTATTAGAAATGTTTTCAAGCAGCAAGTCCGTTAAATTTTAAGTAGTTTCCCTTCTGTTTTCATATAAATGTTGCATTACATTTACAGAGAAGAAACTTCACTCTGGCCTTTCAGGCAGCTGAAAGTGTTGGCATCAAATCCACTCTGGTAAGTGTTAAGTTAAATGGATAATGTCCTGTTTATTAAATGTCTTTTATACCTTGCACAATGAACCTCTGTGACAGAAAGATTACTGTGTTTTGGGCCTGAAGCAATATAATGAGGACAGTTAATTTGCCCCAGAGTGATTTGTAAAATGGTTGTATATTTTGTATGAAGCCTGCTTTTCCATGTAGACATTACTGTTCTCCTGAATTTTTCTGTTTTTCTTGGCTTCTTCCTTGACAGGGCAGGTATTTTGTCTTGTGACAAATTGTAGCATATAAAGAAACCATTAATATTCAAAACAATACAGCCAAGCTAAAATAGAGTACAGGTGAACTGCTCACAGATACTCTGGCCTGGGAAGTCTGCAGGGCAGACATACTAGGCTTCTTACACAGCCTAGTATTTGTCTGTGCTGGTGGCTTAAGGAACTGTGGGTACAACCTACATTCTAGATTTGGGTTTACATTTCAAATTGTTTGAATTTAGTAGAATTCTGAAGGTGCAAATCAAACCCTTGAAAGTTGTTTTTTTCAATAAAGTAGGAAGGTCATGATTTCTGTGGTCCATCTGTTAGACCAGCAAATGGTCCAAACTATTGTTGGATAGAGGGGCTTTCTTTGTCTTCATAATCAAGCACTGGCAACATTAATAGAAAATTTGATACTAGGTCTGTAATGAATTAAGTTTAACTGTGAAACTGTTTCTCTAACAATAGTTAAGAGGCTTTGTAATTCCTACAAGAAGAAATTCCTGAGTAGAGTTGAAAAGAATTACTAATTGTCATTATGAAAATAATTATCAGAAGAGGAAGACTTTTCTGAAGCCATTGAATTGGAAGAAACCCAAGCCCTGGTAGATGTCTCCAGCAATTCAGCTAGAATTGCCAGGAGCAGAAAAAGAATTTAAATAACTCATTAGGACTTGTGTAACTGGGATTCTAGCAAAGCTGCCATTGAGTTAGCGATTCACAATGCTATATAGTCAGACATTTAAAAATAGCACTTTCCTTGATCCTTATCAAAACCTCTGACCAGCCATTGTATTTGTTCACAATGGAGATGCAACTACTGAGAATTTTTAAATACCTCAGAAGTTAGTGGTTTTGAAATGTGAAGATTTTTACCAAATGCAGATATAAAAATAGACTATTGAGAGCAGCTGTAGAAATGCCAGCATGCAGTTAGCTACAGTAAAATGGCACTGTGATGTTCCCCTCTGCTGTTGTCTGGACCAGTGATCTGCTAGGCCACTCCAGTCCTTGACTCTGGGAGCCAGCCTTACCCTGATCTGCTGTGAGATCCCCTGTTCAAGAACCCCCTGCACAGCCTCTGGCATGTAAGCTGCTCCCTGCTACTTGCAAGCTAATGACACTAGCCAATATGTCCGGTCCCAGAAACAGCCATAGGAACCTCCGTCTTACAGTGTCCAGTTATGCCCACTGGATGCTGCAAGCTTATATAAATTCATCAATTTAACAAAGAAATTGATATGTACCAGGCTTGTAATCCCAAGGGGAGCCTCTGACACACTTCAAACCAAACACACTGCTTCAGATAGAATAAACAAACAAATTTATTAACTATAAAGATAGATCTTAAGTGATTATAAGTCAAAGCATAACAAGTCAGATTTGGTCAAATGAAATAAAAGCAAAATGCATTCTAAGCTGATCTTAATACTTTCAATGTCCTTAACTTAAATGCTTCTCACTGCTGGCTGGTTGCCCTTCAGCCAAGCTCTCCTCTTTGTTCAGCGTTTCAGTCGCTTGGTGGTGTCTGTAGATGTAGGTGTGAGAGAGAGAGCATGGCAAAATGTCTCTCCCTTTTATAATGTCCTTTCTTCCCTCTGGGCTTTGCCCCCCCCCCCCATTTCAGGGTCAGGTGAGCATTACCTCATTGCAGTCCCAAACTGCCCAAAGGAAGGGGGTGACTCCCTCCAGGGTCTAACAGATTCTTTTGTTGCTGCCTAAGCCAGTGTCCATTGTTCCTGTGAGGCTGGGCTGGGTTTGTCCCATCCATGCCCTGCTGAGGTGTGAACTACCTCTCTGTTCTTGGAGCGTTTTTGCACGGGCTTGCTTTAAGCCATGAGGATACATTTTCAGCCTCATAACTATATACATCAAAATATAATGTATAACTTTACTATAACATTACTGTAACAATTATTATAACATCACTATAACAGCCATGCTCAGTGCATCATGAGCCTTCCGAAGACACCCAACATAACCAACTTTGCATTGGATACCACACAATCATTTTATAAGGATGAACATGGGAGTGTAGGGTGTCCCCCCGAGGTACAGAGTGTCACAGGCAGTTTCCTCTCCCTTGACATTACAGTACATAACGGTACTAGAAAGTGTACTTTACAAGATACCTGGAACTGGCTGACCAAAAACTATCTTAAAATGTAATCCCTACACATGCAGACACTTTCATAGGCTCAGGTACATCCAAACTGAATTAAATTTTATAAGAGGAAATTGTATCTTTCAAAGGGAAAGTTTGTTAGCAGTATATGCAGCATACACTGTGTGTTTTGTGTGGCAAATGGTCATTGTGTCTACAAATGTTAATGAGGGTAACATTAGGGAAAATTATTTCAGTTGTTCCTTGAACAGGGTGTTTTGACTACTCACAGCTCCTTTCATAAAGTGAACTCTAACACAATAATTGCTATTTCTGTTTGAACTCTATTAATAATCCCTTCCTTTGCGTACAGGTTCCATGCGTAGATTGTGGAGCAAGATATATCCATCTTACTTGTTTGTAAATCTGTTTACGCACTTATGGTGCAATATAAATAATTAGAATAGTTTGAGATCAGTTCATAGCTTTGTGAGGTAGGAATTAACTCCTCACGTTTTGCCTCTCCTTCAGATTACATATTTTACTAGATTTGGTAATGCTCATTTTTCCTAGTTAAACATCTACCTTGGAAATCACTATACCAGTGGTGGGCAACCTGACAGGCTGCATGCAGGCCGCAGATTGCCCACCACTGCACTATACTGTTGTAAAGTGACGCTTGACAGTACCAAGTAAAAAGGTTGACCGTTAGAGAGCAAGTTTGTGCCAGGACATTTGTTACAAAGCTAGACCTTGATCCTGCTATTGAAAGTGCATGTGCGGTTGCAGATATCTGCATGCGTGCCATTAACTGCAGCATTGGGGTTCTAGTGTTTCAAAACTGAACTGTTTTTATTGTTAGCAGTATTAAATGAGAAGAAACCTGAGGTATACTCTGATATTGGACTCATGAACTGCAGGTCACAAAGTTAATGTTGCTTTTCAATGAGATGGTAGCCCTTTGCAGATGGCGCAGAAATAACTGTTTTAAACTTTTAAGTCGTGAAGTACCTTTCACCATCTGAACTTTGCAAATGACATGCTGAGCAAAATGGAGATCTTTCCCTAAGCTTTTCTCAGAGTGGGAGCTTTACAGCTTTGATGAGCACTGCTTTGACATGAACTTGCAAGGTGGTAATTAATAATTTTGATCTTCTTTTTGTGACAGGACATCAATGAAATGGTGCGAACTGAGCGTCCAGACTGGCAGAATGTCATGCTGTATGTTACAGCAATTTACAAATACTTTGAAACCTGAAACCTTGTTAATCCAAAAGATTTGCAGGGTGGAATCATCACTACCTGCCAGACAGAAACATGACTGAAATGCTAATCCCAGATTCATTAAAATCTGGCAACATTCATGTCCCCCAACCTTCAGTGACGCTATCATGGATTGTCTCAAACTGCTTCAGCCAACAAACCTTGTAACACAGGTTAGAAGCAAGAACTTGTTACCAGTGTACTAGGCATATCCCATGGTATTGAGTTATCCAAATTAATTACGTAGCCTAATAAAACTGGCCTTCTAGGAACTGCCTTTACATCCAGACTTCTTGAAGTTTTCGTATTTCCATAAGAGAGACTGAGGTGTATAATGCTGTAGCATATACAGGATTGAATGTACAGCTAGAACTATGAGAAGGAAAAGGATGAAACAGCATCATAATCAATTTTCTCTACTATCAGAAACCACAGTGTCTGGGTGAATATTCTACCCTTATATACACTGCACCCCAATACAGTAAAAATCTTAATAGTAACTGAAGTTACTGTCTTCATTATTTTTCCTCCTCTAATGTGCACAATATTCAAGGGAAAGGAGCTTTTATTCTGTCAGGCTTACTTGACGAAAAGTGCTCTCAACACCTGGACAAATCTGGCGCAGAAGAACTCTTCAGTGTAAAGCTCTGTTTAAGCCTACCTCTGTCACACAGTAACGTGGCTTCCAACTTTATCTAATGGATTATAAGGACTAGCACATACAATTCCTGGCTTGAAGAGTATACTGTATTTACAAGGAGTTATATTTCATATAATTTTCTGTGCTTCCATTATAACTAATGAGATTAATCAAGAATTTATCCTTGTAGAACTTGTCTCTATCCCCTTCTTCCTTTGCCTGCATAGCACACATAGAAATGCCGATCTTTCCTTTCCAGCAATACAAGCATACAGTGTCTCTGATTTCAATGGTGGAATTATGCCAGTGGGATTTCTCCCTCTACAGAGAAGATAATTGTCAGTAATGGGATGTCCAGCTTTGCAGTGTTCCATGTACACTTTTCTTTGGATCTTGCAGATACTGGTCTAACTAAAAGAAAGCAAAACATGCTATGAAGAGAACTGTAGTGGAATTAATTTTTATGTAATCCTGTTCCAATCTGGAATATTGTATCACAAAGACTAATGCTCCTGAGGAAAGAATGAAAAGCTTTGGTCTGCTCAGATTGTATTCTCCTAAAATGCACCTCCGTTCATGTGGCAAAACTCTCTAGGCAAAAGAGTTCAAGCAAGTGCCTTAAATATCCTTGAGTTGGTAGACCCTGGAGCTCCAGGGCACTGTGCAAAACATTAGGAACTCAGAAGGATTTCTAGTGGCAAACTGACGTGTGTTGTTAAAATGATTTTTGTAATCCTGTACTTGTCATACCAAGAGGAGGCCTTCACCCTACCATTGTGTTCCTGCCTCTTACTTCCCTACATAGATAGCAACAGTTAAGCCACAGGAAAGAGCCTCTCTCTAATGTTGAGCTGAAGCTTTCATTTGATGACCACCTTTATAAATACACTTAACCTACCAACAGCCCTGTTAGAAACAATGATTCTGTTATTCCTATTGTGTGCCTATAACTCTTATGGACAGTTTGAATGAATAGATGTTAACAACTCAGTGAATGCAACTGTGCTTGGCAACTATTAGTGCTATCAGGAATGGAAAAAACACTGATTCAAATTAAAACTATATAGCCAGTCAGAATAGCTAGAGCCCTGAAGAATGTAACCAATCTGAAGAGGGGGCATTTCAGCATGCCTCTGGCATTTAAACAGACCTCGCACCTCTTAACTCCTATATTATAAAGCTCAACTAACTCTTAAATTCTGATCAGTGTCTGTAGTGGAAGGAATAAAACAAATGTCTTTAGTGATGGGGGAAGGGTTTATTAAATGTCTGGTAAATAACCATTTAGTCCAAAGAGAGGACACTTGGAGAAGTTTCCAGAGAAGCTGTTTCTGGTGACTACTTCCTCTCAGATTGGGAGGCTAATGTTAGGCAAGTAGCTAAAAATTCTCAGGCTGTGAGTAAACAGGCTTGAAGATCCTCGGCAACCAAGAGAAAACGGTTGCAGAAGAGACTTCAAATAAAAATATCTTCATAAGAGTTGAATAGAAAGAAGTGGGAAATGTACACTATCACTTTCACAAACTGCTGAAATCCCATTTCTGCACTTTTATGCTATGGGAGGCTGTTTTCTTTTCCTTATGAATTTAAGTTGTCTATTTACAGTTGCATCATTTTATTTATTACATTAAGATTGAAAAAAAATTCTAATTAAAAAGATAGCACTCCTCACTCTAAATTCACTAGTAACCTATTTCTTTAACATAGTTTGAGCCAAGGGCTAATTTTAGCTATTTTTCTGCAAAGTGGTGTCTGAACTTTACTTGCTTGGAAATCTCTGTTGTTAATTGTAATAATATTGATCATGTAAACATCCATAAAAAGGGAACTCCAGGTTTTTCAACTATATCCAGTTAGGCAACATGATAGAAGCATTAAGAATCTGCAGAGATGGACGTTTTAAAATAATAAACATAGACCTTCATTAGAAATGAAGAAATCTACAGATTGCTTCTTGGTGCGATCTGTAGATCTGTCTGTTTTGGTGGGTTTTGTTTTTGTTTGTTTGGGGGTTGGTTTTGGGGGTTTTTTTGTTTGTTTGTTTGTTTGGTCTGAAGTTATACTTGGTGTTGATGGTACACAGGAATTGGAGTTACATCTGGAAAGAGGCATGTGGCTCCATAAAGAAATTTCCGAGACACACATCTGAGCCTTTACAAATAGAATACTGTGCTTCTGACATAATGAAAGGATATTCAAGAAAGGGATGGAAGAAATAAAACAAACTGAACCCTGGTACACAGTAACAGAATGTTCAGAAAGGCGGAAACAACAAATCTCTCCTTTTGCTCATTGGAAGAATGACTTATGTAACCTTTCTGGATAGAAATAATACTCTTCAGTATGGTTCCAACTCATACTTCACCCTGAAAGGGCCAGTTCGGTTACACATTGTAGAGTGCAAGCTTTGTGCTGTTTGACTTGATATTTTTGTTCTGTTTAATGTACTTAAAATGCCAAACAATATATGGTAGATTTATTTTTATTGCATTTTAGTATGTGCCTTGCAAATGCCTGTGTTTTAGTAGTCTGTGTTATTCATGTCCATCTCTGTAAGAGGTGCACATAACCAAAACAGCTTGGACGTCTTTATGCAGTTTTGGCTCTGTTGCTGTCTGGATAATGTTAAGTGAAACACATTCCATTGAATGTAAAGATGTCAGTATCCAGTCAGGTGTGTGTCAGATTTGTTTAATATTCATGGTACATCAGCGGCGAACTGAATGAACAGTTGAAGCTTTTTCTTTACCTTCAGTTAGCATCAAAGGAGGAATAACTTATTTTTTAATATTCAGACAGACGGTCTCCAGAGTTCTTTGATGTCCAGAGTAACAATAAAAAGGTGATGTGAACCTTTGGAATCGATGAGACGCAACTGATTGGGTTTTCAGGTATTTCGTATGTTTAACTGAAAACACTTATCCATTAGTTTTAGCCATGTAACTCAATGGACCTCATAATGACCTTTCACTACAGCAATACCTGCTAGAAATTCTAAGCAAAAGCCTCTAATTGAAACTGCAGCCATGGAGAGGCAACCCAGAATGTTGTATTAATAATTACATGATATCCTGGTTAAAGAATAAAATGTCACTCTTTGCCTTATTTATATTAAACATTATTTCTGCCAATTATAAATTGCATTTATCAGAGAGTGATAGATGTCTCCAGTTTAATAATATGTTGTCCCTACCTTTCTGTGCTCTTGAAAAGTCAACCAGTCTGCCTTGAGAGGTCTCTAACTTTGCCAGGGCAATGAAACCAAATTCAGCTGTTACACTGGTGTAAATCCATATGAACACCACTGACTTCAGTAGTTACTCCTGTTTTACACATATGAACAGAGCAGAATTTTGCCCACTAAATCTAATATGATGATGCGCGCAAAACTGTGGTTTAAATCGTTATAAAGATGTGCCTCAGGAGTTGTCAAAGTGACAGCAAAATCTCTATGGTGTTTCATATTTGTTCCCTGTCAATGACCTCAACATCAAATCTCATCTGCCCCCGCCCCACCACCCATTCTACCTCTGATGTTATCAACCATTCCAGGTAATAAAGAACCTGGTAGTGACAGCAGTTTTGTTGTTCATATGAAAGGTAGAACAGAATATTTTATTCTTGCATCTCTAGTTTCTGTGCAATTCTGACAAAGGTATGAAATTTTTGGCCCATAACTCTGCTTTAAATTAACAAATAGGAGCGTATGCTTTTTCAAGATTTTGTTTTACCAGCTGTGTTCTACTCATGGTTGTCTTAAGAGCCCTACTTGCCTGTCCATTGACAAGCTGACATCCCTTTCACAGCTTGCTCCAAGAATGTCAAAACCGTAGTCCTTTTCTGCCCTGATTCAAGACACAGCCCCAAGAAGGCTACCTGTGGAAAAGGGCATTATCGTCGTCATATCTGCACAAATTGCTTGTCCCCAAGTTTTTATGATCTTCCGGACTTGACGTGATCAATGATTTTTACCTTTGACTCTTATTTTTATTTCATGTCCCTCCAAACCACATTGTTGGCTACTGCTACAGTGCCTTGCCTGAGCAGAATGGCCAAGGCATGAATCCCTGTGAAAGTGGACACCAACCTGCATTTTAAAGTCATTGTCATCTCTGTGCCCCAGAGTTGACACCGTTCATTGTGCTTCCACTTGCCTGTATACGTTGATTGGCCAAATATAAGTCAGATCATTTCAGCTCTTCAGTTGACACCTATTTCCCCCTCACATCAAGAAATGTCGTACATAGAGCTTACATCTCACTGTAATGCTTGTCTGGTGCTTTTGCATTAAAATCCTTAACTCTCCAATAAATGAAAATAGTGTTAGACATTTCTAATTTAATGGCCCCAACTAAAAATGTGGATTTAATACTGACTGTGCCCCTAGAGTAGTTTTTCTGCTCGTTTCTCAGGGAGAGTTCCTATGCTCAAAGAATGAGTTGCTTGCTGCAGTAGAACGGGTTGTGAACTGCAGTGTTTAATTTAAAATAAAATCTGTTGTTGGAGTTCAGTTGGGTTTACTGGACAGTTCTAAGAATTTGTTCAGCTCTGTCTGCTCTTAATTTCTGTAATAACTAGGTCAGCGTTGAGTACATTTGGTAACTGTCAAAAGGTCAGCGTGCTAGGGTCTGGGAACATTTGACTAGTTCATTATGGTGTCTAAGTTGTTTAAAAGATCTTTTTTATATGTAATTTTGTATAAAGGGCTTGGCCATTAAGCAGAATATTGAAGTGGGTCTCTTATTTCTTGTGTATTCCATGCTTGCCAGCTTTTACAGTGGCAAGATCTTCAACTGTCTCGGCTTGACAGGATTACTCTCCTGGTCTCTGAATTAATTATATGTAATTCTTTTCCTTCCATAAGAAATTGTTTGCCTACACCTAAACTTGAATAATACTTAGCTACAGAAGCCGGATGCTTCTGCATTTTTCTCCCATTTAAAGTGGTTTATTTTTCACTTGAGAGGTTCCTGACCCTAATTGATACAGGGCTGTATCTGCTGTTGAGTTGCACGCAGATTTCCTAGCGACTTCAGTGAGAGTTCAGCGTGCAGAACGATAGACAAGTCGCTTACAGAATATTTTGTGGCACCACAATCATCCCCATTTTCAGAGGTTTGCAGTGTTGCCAAAATCACTCAATCTAGGCTGAAACTTGGTATATAAGCTCTCACCGGGGGAGTATCCTTCTGTTTAATAGTATTTTTGAAGAAATAGTTTGTATTTGGTATAGGAACTAAAGGAAATGTCATGGGTTTAGAATCGCTGTGCTTTTCTAATGCTTTTGAATTTTAAACTGAGAATTTTGCATATAGTGCTAGAATATGAACTGGATTTCTTGGAGGGAAAAGATTTAAAAATGACTCGCTGTGACTCCACTGTGAATAAGCAACATGTTATGTTACGTGCATTTCCTCTTTCCAGTGAATAATATGTATAGTTTTCCTCGTATGCACTTCGTGTGTGTGTTTGGTAGCTAGAATGGCACAACAAACAGTTATTGGTGCAAAAGAGCCCTAACAGTCTGTGTTATACACAGGTCATGAACCAAGATTTTAAAGGGTAGACTGTATTGGCAACAAAGGAACAGTTAACGTTTGCTCAAAACTCCACTTCACAAAATCTCTCTCTCGCTCTCTCTCTGCTTCACTTCTTTCAGCTAAATATGTATTTACAGTTATGGTGAATTTCAGGAAATGGGGGACATATGCATGACGACATACCCAAGTAACTTATACATGTAAAAATTACATAGTGTTTCATGAGTGTTTCGAAAATATTTTTAAATATGTGTATCATTAAATATTCAGTTTGTTACAATCTATTCTTACTAGTTTAATGTAGATTTGCTTTTAAAACCTGCACCTCTTCCATGTTTCATCTGCTAAAGTTTGCTTGAACAAAAAAAGCCTTAGTTTTCCTATTGGTTAATACAAATGAAAAGTATGAGACTGCTAACTGGGATATGGAGCATTTCCCCTCTAGATTGCCAGTTCAAATCCAGCTTGGGCCAGTAATGACTGTCTGAAGGTTGTTTGGTCAACATGAAATGAATCTGTGATCCAGTTAATAGCGGGCAGGTGTCAACATCAGGAAATCAGAGTGACACTAATTGGCACCACCCAAAGGGATGGATACTGAACTATCTTCTGGCCCTTAGAAGTGGTACCTTCAATTCCAGTTTGAGATAACTGGCAGAATAGTGTGGGAAGCTTGTCCTATCCCCACCCACTCCAGCCCATGTTGAGAAAGAATAAAAGAATTTTATTGCCATCTCCTTCAGTCTGGCATCACAAGCATTGTATTTGCTTACAAAGTGGCCCACAACTTTGATAATGACACCACTGCTTGGAATATTATCAGTTGGCATAACTGCTCTAGAGAGAATTGGAATGTTCCATAGCTTTTAAGAATCATGAAAACAGAAAACTGATTTTAAAAAGACCTTTCCATACATTCTTCCTAAGTTTTATTTATTTCTGTGTGCATTTGAAACATGACAGATCACCCTAGCAGTGATTGGGTTGAGTGAGGGTAGCAGTTCTAGTTCTATGCAAAAAGCACTTTCCCTTCTTTCTTAAACCACACATTCTATTGTTACAACTGAAAAGGCTTCAAGAAATGTCTGAGCTTTAAGTGTATAGTTGTGTCACAGATTTGACCTTACAGTCTGAGTGGGGAAAAAATAGTATCTTTTCTCAGCTTCCCTTCCAGTTGGATCTGAGACTTGGAAGCAGAGGAGGAATCCAAAATGTGTTTCAATTAGACTGCAGCCTGGTTCCAGTTTGAAAGGCAAAAATCAGTAATCGTTGGGACTTCCAAGGCTGGCAATCCTATTTTAAATTAAAGCCCTTGGAGGAACAGTGTGTTTTTTAGTTTTGCAAGTTCCACTAAGGATCTGGGCATTTGCTTTATACAAAACAATGTATTCTGTGTTTGTATTTAGTATATATGCCTTCGATTTGCCAATGTTACCATGTTTTCTTCTTAAGTTTGTGAAATAAAGTTTTACAGATATTAAAATGTGTACTGTATTGACTGAGATGGGCCGTACTACAAACTCAGATCCAGTTAGCTTTTCGTACCATTCCGTCACCATTACTGACTTTCAGGAGCAATATTTAGAAGGGGTAGTTTACAGTCGTGTGTGTGGCATATATGTAATGCATGGGAGGTGTAACTAATTCCTGATTTCTGTATGTGGATTTCTCAGAATTTTAGCACTAGCAGCACAACTTAAAGCATCTGTCCTAACGGGTTTATGTACTATAGTAATGGGTATCCTTAGATATTATGATAAAAGTGGGTACTTGATGTATTGTCTTCACATTGGATTGTTCTGGTCTTGAATATTCAATTGATAGAGAAGGGAATTGCTGTTTTTTCTTGTTATAGGCTATTGCTATTATCCATTCCTACTTTTGCTGTGATCCTCTCCTCCCTAAAGGGGATTAGTGTGAAGATGGGATTATCTCAGGATAGCTGCACAGGAGAAGAAGCAGTGCTTTACACAAACAAGATGAGTGAGGTAATATCTTCTATTGGACCCATTTCTGTTGGCGAGAGAGACAAGCTTTCGAACTTACACAGAGCTCTTCTTCAGCCTGTCTCACCAACAGAAATGGGTTCAATAGAAGATATTGCCTGCTCCACCTTGTCTCTCTAATATCCTGGGACCAACCAGGCTACAAAAACACTGTATTGTTTTACAGATTTTGCTATAGAGGAGTGTCATTGCACAGCTGTATGCAAAAATTACAATAACTAAAGATTGAAATTTATAAAATTGGTTGGGCAAAAAAAAATTTTTAAGGGATGCTGTTGAGTCTGGGGCTAATTAAGTGTGGTCAGTGCTTGGATAACCTGGTGATAAGGTATATTAGAAACGGATGTTAGCTACTCTGCCACGAAAACCGAACACGTAGCTAAATGTGATATGGAGAAGTGCAGCCTGGAGTGTATAATATGTTTAAGATGGATTAAAACAGAAATCGGTTCACTTCTCCAAGTCCCCAAATTTGCTTTTTTTTAGAGAGAGGTAAAATTGGTTCCCTGCGCGGGTTGAGTGACCACGGTCCTGCATTTTTTTGTTGCACTATAAGCATTCTTTTCTCTAGGCTTAAATTTTCAA